GCATATCCTTATAGTCCTCGCAACATCCTTATAGTCCTCCCTAGTGGCCTGCCCTCTTTTCCAAAGATTATAAACCCTCCTTTTCCTCCTAAGCTCAAGCCACAGCTCTCTGTTCAGCCAGGCCAGTCTTCTTCCGCACCAGCTCATCTTTGGGCATGTGGGGACAGACTGCTCCTGTGCCATTAAGATTTCCTTCTTGAAGAGTGCCCAGCCTTCCTGGACTCCTCTGCCCTTCAGAACCACCTCCCAAGGGAAATGAGGCCCATCATCTGACGATAACCCTTCAAGAAGTCCAAATCATGGAATCATAGAATCTTAGAATGGTTTGGGTTGGAAGGGATCCTAAAGATCATCTAATTCCAACCCACCTGCTATGAGTAAGGACACCTCCCACTAGACCAGGTTGTTCAAAGCTCCATCCAACCTGGCCTTGAACACTTCTAGGGAGAGGGCATCCACAACTACTTTGGACAACCTGTTCCAGTGCCTCACCACCCCCACAGAAAAGATTTTTTTCCTAATATCTAATCTAAATCTCCCCTCTTTTGCTTTGAAGCCATTACTCGTTGTCCTATCACTACACTCCCTGATAAAGAATCCCTCCCCTGCTTTCCTGTAGGCTCTATAGGTATTGTAAGGTTGTTGTAAGGTGTCCCTGAAGCCTTCTCTTCCACAGACTGAAGAACTCCCACTCTCTCATCCTGTCTTTGTAGGAGAGGTGCTCCAGACCCTTGATCACCTTCATGGCCCTCCTCTGGACTCATTCTAATACTTCCATGTCCTTCTTGTGCTGGGGGCCCCAGTGCTGAACACAGTACTCTGGATATCTAGGAATTATTTTCTTTTAGCAGAGCTTTTATTACTTGTCTAGCCTGACTGGTGCAGCAGTGAAAAACCTGTTGCCATACTGAAAAGGTATCTACTAAAACAAATAAATATTTGTATTGTCTACATTTTGGCAGTTCAGAAAAATCTGTTTGCCACTGTTCCCGAGGAGTAATACCCCTTTTCATTTCACCTGCAGGAGGCCACCATTGTATTTTAAGATTGTTTACATGGCAAATCTCACACCTTTTCAGTATTATATCTGTGTTTGTTCCTATAGTATATCTTTTGATATTGCTGATCATTGCATCCACTCCCATGCAGATTTCTTCATTTAACTTCTTAAGGAGGTTTTCTATCATTTTGGTTGTTGTAAGAACCTGCCAGTTAGGACTTACCTACAATCCCTCTGCATTTTTTGAAAACTGAAATGTTTCTGCCAGCTGATAATACTTTCCAGAATATTAAGGAGGATCCATATTCAGTTCACACAGTATTAAGGCTCCTGCCACATATTCTTGTAAGGCCACTTTTTTAGCTGCCAAATTGGTCTTTCTGTGTCCTTGAATCACTTCTCCTTGTCCTTTTTCATCAACTTTGCAATGAATTATTGCTAATTCCTTTGGCTTTAAAACCTTCTTGCCCTTTTTGAATATAGAAGTGACTTTTGTTTTCCTCCAGTCTTTGGGCACCTCTCCTAGTCATCATGATTAATCAAGGGTTATCAAGAGTGGCCTCACAATAACATCTTCCAGCTCCCTCAGCACATATATGTGCATCCCATCAGGGCCCCTTGGACTTACATTACATATGTCAAAAAAAAAAAAAAAACAACACACACACACACAAAACAAACAAACAAAAAAAAAGGTCTGAAAGAGAAGTCTGCTGATAACACATAAGAAACATACATAAGAAATATACACATATATGTGTGTATAAGAAATATGAGGGGTGGAAAAGACATAAACACATTTCTAATTACTATGTAGCTGTTATAAGATGAAATGTAACATCCAGGAAATCTTTGCAATGTCCTGGGACCAGCACTGTTTAATATTTTTATCAATGACATAGTGGGATCGCGTGAACCCTCAGCATGTTTGCAGGTGACACCAAGCTGAGTGGAACAGTCGATACAACAGAAGGAAGGGATGCCATCCAAAGGGACTTGGGCAAGCTTGAGAAGTGGGCCCATGTGAACCTAACGAGGTTCAACAAGTCTAAGTGCAAGGTGCTGCACCTGGGTCGGGGCAAACCCAGACAGGAGTACAGACTGGGAGCAGTCTGTACATTGAGAGCAGTCTCTACATTGAGAGCAGCCCTGCAGAAAAGGACTTGGGGGTTCTGGTGGATGAAAGTCTCGACATGAGCTGGTGGTGCGTGGTTGAAGCCCAGGAGGCCAACTGCGTCCTGGGCTGAATCAAAAGAGGAGTGGCCAGCAGGTGGAGGGAGGGGATTGTCTCCTTCTACCCTGCCCTCATGAGGCTCCTCTTGGAGTACTGTGTCCAGTTCTGGAGCCCTCAGTACAAGAAAGATGTTGATCTGTTAGAACGGTTCCAGAGGAGGATCACGAAGTTGATCAGAGGGCCAGAGCACCTCTCCTTGAAGGAAGGCTGAGTTCAGCCTACAGAAGAGAAGGCTCTGGGGTGACCTCGTTGTGGCCTTTCAATACTTAAAGGGAACTTATAAAAAAGATGGAAAGCAACTTTTTGCTTAATGTGAAAAAATAGAAAATCTTTGCAATGTAGGGTGTGATATTTGTGAACTTGCTTTTCCAAGTGAAAGGGACCAAGAATGTGGAAAGCAAAACCACAAACAACATCCCAGTATGCAGTATGATATATGAGGGTGTTGAAATAAGGTGTGTTGAAAACAGCCTTGATTTTTCTGTTATAGTCAGCTCATTCACAGCTTCCTGGTACATAAAATATTCTTTTTAACTGCAGCTGAATTTCCTGTTTCCTTCTTAGGAAGAACCCCAGAAACTGCTTCTCCACATGTGCTTTTTAACAAGACCAGATGAAAGTAACTGGAGAAGCAAGCAATGAGTTTTGTGCAGACAGTTACAGTGGTAACAGTGGGCACATGCTTAATTTCCTCCCTAATTTTTAAAAAAGGATGCCAGGACTCATTTTGAGTGTTGGAAAAGACTGCTGTGCCAAGTTACATCTTATGCCTGGGCATCTTGAAGAATCAATAAAATGATGCTTATTGCTTACCATGTCTGCATTGCAAAACCCAGGGCTTTACAACCTTTGGTTGCAGGACCTTGACAGTGCTGAATGCTCTGCAGTGATCATCCATTTTGTTATTCGATGAGTACATCTGTCTATGCATAGACATGCCAATACAGAAACTACTGACTTAATACATGATTATGTTTTATACAGTTTGTTAAACGGTGACCTCTCTTTTACAATGTTGTTATCCTAGGATTTGGCTGTGATCAGTATAGTATGCTATATACTGGTTGACAAAGTGTTATACTTCTCATATTAATGAAAAACCGTATTTGCTGCTGGAAAAATGAGTCATGATACCAGGCAAAAATGAATATTGAAGCATGGCCATACTAGGACATACTAATTCTCTACTGGATACCGGTAGTGGCCTTGTAGATCCTGATGGAGATAATTAAGAAGTAGGCAGGAACATAGTGATATCCCACTTCGCATTCTCTAATAATGATTCATGGAACTAGAATATATAGGATAGGACACATGGCCTGGGAAGAGTACAGGGATGCAGTCCAAATGAGCAGGGATGGGATAAGGAAAGCCAAGGCACAGATGGAACCGAGACTGGCAAGGGATGCAAAGAATAACAGGAAGGGGTTCTATGGGTACATTGCTCAGAAAAGAAAAGCCAAGGGGAGTGTACCATCTCTGATGGATGAGAAGGGTGAACTGGTAACAACAGACGCGGAGAAGGCTGAGGTACTCAATAACTTCTTTGACTCAGTCTTCACTGCCAGTCAGGCTTCCCAAGACTCTCGTTTCCCTGAACCTATAGATGGAGGCTGGGAGAGAAAGTCCCACCCACTGTAAGCAAAGAACAGGTTTGAGACCACCTGATGAAACTAAACAAGTAGAAGTCTATGGAGCCTGATACAAACATCCTAGGGTACTGAAGGAATCAGCTGATGTAGGTGCCAAGCCTCTCTCCATCATATTTGAAAAGTCCTGGCAGTCAGGAGAATTTGATGGTAACTGGAAAAAGGGAAACATCACTCCCATTTTTAGAAAGGGTAGAATAGGAACTTACAGGAAATGTGGAGAGCAACTTTTTGCCGAATGAGATAATGACAGGGTAAGAGTTTTTGTTTGATTGTTGGTTTGTTTGTTTGTCTTTAAGTAAAAGAGGGGAGATTTAGATTAGAGATCAGGAGGAAATTATTCACTTAGAGCATGTTAAGGCACTGTAACAGGTTGCCTAGAGAGGTTGTGGATGCCCCATCTCTGGATGTATTCTAGACTAGGTTAGATGAGGCCCTGAGCAACCTGATCTAATGGGTGGCATTTCAGTTTATGACAAGAGGGTTGTAATTAGATGATCTTCAATGTCCCTTCTAACCCAAGCCATTCTATGATTCTATGAATATTTCAGTTTGTTTTGTGTACACATGTGCACACCTGTTCATTACCTTTTGATTAAGTTTGAAATTAGGTAGTTAAATTTGGGTGTTATACCAAAGGGTTATTCATGCTTTATCATAAAACTTCCATTCTCTTTTTAAGAAGCAGAATGCTGGGAATTCATAATAATTTAAATCAGTTTTCTGATTTAAATTATCAAATCAATCTGAGTCAACTAACCATTAATAGCTAGTAAAAGACCAATGTTATCCTAATCAGTTATACAGTAGTAGTATACTACTTGTACACTTATTTAGGCTAACATTGGTCTTTTTGTTGCCTTTGGATGTACACAGTATTTATGAATGTTTTTAGCATAATAAGTCTTGTTCAAATGATAACATTCAATGGCAGTTACGGGAATATGGGCAGTGTTGCTAAGGTGGAGCAACCAAAGCCACCAGTCCGTAAATCATGAATCCCTAGGATTTGTGGTGACTAGCATGATGCAACATGACAATTACTCAATCCTTGTGTTAAACATTACTTTTCTTCTTCCTCCAACCCACCCCCCCCTCTTCCCCCCCCCCCCAGCACACTTGGAAGTAATAAATTCAGCTCCTTTCCAGTTGCAAATTTACTCTGAACTAAAACATTGCTCTTCATACCTTTTTCAAAGATCTATAGGATACCAAGACAGACATCTCAATGGCTACCAAGGTATGCTCTTTCCCTTACCCTAGTTTCCCTCTCTATTTTCTAATTCTTCTTCTGTCTGTTTCATTGTCCATATTCTATGACACTTATGTAATAATGACTTTGAAAATGGATGTCCTATGTACTTCATGCATATGTTACTCTGCAAAGTATTTGTAGGGACTAACCTCAATTTTTTGAGTCTTCCTGTCTAGATAATATCAAAAGATAAACCTCCAAAACATAAATGAGAGCAAGGATAGGATTCATCTCACTGACTGCAAACATCTGCAACATAGATTTCTACATATGAGCTAATCACGAATGCATTTCATAGTGAAGTGGAACAGTGCAACAGTATCTCTGGAGTGTATGAAATATGGTTCAGGAGTGGTATTCTAGAAGAGGTTGTTTCTCTCCATTGGTGTTAAGGGACATTAGTGTTAATGTCAAGAAATGTTAACGGCTATAACTGACATGGAGAAGGCTGAGGTACTCAACAACATTTTGCCTCAGTCTTCACAGGCAACTGCTCATTCAATACCTGCCAGGTCACAGAATCTCAGGGCAGGGCCTGGGGGAATGAAGTCCCACCTCTGTAGGAGAAAGCAAGGTTCGATACCAGAATCTGAATATGTACAAGTTGATGGGGCCTGATGAGTTGCATCCAGGGATGCTGAGGGAACTGGGAGATGGAGTTGCTAAGTGTATAAGGAATTGGCTGGATGGTCACATTAAAACAGTTGCAGTCAATATCTCAATGTCCAGGTGGAGACCAGTGATGAGTGGTGTCTCATCCCCTCAGGGTTCTATTTTGGGAATTCAGCCAAGCCAAGTGTAAGGTTCTGCACCTGGGTTCAGGCAATCACAAATATCAATACAGACTATGTGATGAATTGATTGAGAGCAGCCCTGCAGAAAAGGAGTTGGGGGTACTGGTGGATGAAACACTTGACATGAACTGGTAATGTGTGCTTACAACCCAGAAAGCCAATTTTATTCTGGGCTGTATCAAAAGCCCATGGCCAGCAGATCAAGGGGGATGATTCTCCCAATCTCTTCTGCTTTCATGATATCCTGCTAGGTATACTGCATCCAGCTCTGTGGCCCCCAGCACAAGAGAGACATGGACCTATTACAGACAGTTCAGAGGAGAACCACAAAAATGATCAGAGCATGGAACACTTCTCCTATGAAGATAGATTGAGAGAGCTGGGGTTATTTGAATTAAAGAAGTCTCCTTCTCTAAGGAAGAGGAGAGAGCAATAAAGGGAGACCTTATAGAGGTCTTCCAATACTTACAGAAAGCCTCCAGGAAAGATTGGGAGATGCTTTACCATGGTGTGTAATGAGAGGACAAGGGGCAAGGTTTTCAAACTAAGAGAGAGTAAATTTAGATTGGATATAAGGAAGTAATTCTTCACAATGAGGGTGGTGAAGCACTGGGACAGGTTGCCTAGAGAAATTGTGGATGCTCCCTCCCTGGAAGTGTTTATGGCCAGCTTAGATGGGGCTTTGAGCAACATGGCCTAGTGGAAGGTATGTCTTCCCAGACACGCCACGAGTGTTGGAACTAGACAATCTTTAAAGGTCCCTTCCAACCAAAACTGTTCAGTGTTTGTGCGATTCTATGACTCTATTATGTTCAGGTATGTAGATCTCAGGGTGAAATCTAAGTGAAATGAAGTAAACTTAAGTGAAATGAATGCTGCCACAAACATATATCAGATCTATAAGAGAAACCTGGGTAAGTTATATTTCTTTAGGCCTTTATGATCATTAGTTCCAGTTAGACATTTGTTTTTAACTGAAAGATATATCATTGACTCAAGGAAATCAATTGTTGAATTCGGCTGCAGTTGATAAATTGTTTCAACAAGAATTCTGCCCCTTCTATCCTCTATTTAAAGTATACTTGAAAAATGAGTTCTCTGATCTTCTTTTTGATGATGTTAGGTATTAAATCAGGGTAAACATTGGTTAGTCTGTGGAGAGCTGGATCATATGTATGGATACCGTATATTAATTTTTATGTAGTGAGAAATGGTTTTACCCTGAATGTGTTTCACTTTTTATGCCAGAATGATAATGAAGTTCGTGTGTCTAGCGATCTCTCAGAAGGTGAGATAAAAGCCATTCAGAAGAGAAGAGAAAGAGTGAAGACGTGCCTGCATGAATTACTTGATGTTCATTTTGATGAGGTAAGCACTGACAATCATGTTAAGGTAAAAAGGATAACACTCCCATGATGTAACACAGACTGTCATTTGAAGTGAGGTCAAATTATTGACCTCAAGAAAATTAACTGTATATCAGCCAAAACCAGCACAACATCACATGGTATGAAATATTCCTTTAGTCCATCTGGGTCAGTTGTCCCATACCTATTATATTGCCTTCTAGCCTCCTGCCTCCTAGCCTCCTGCTCACCCACAGCCTGCTTTCGGGGGGTGGAGTGCGAAAGAGAGAGTCTTGATGCTGTGGCAGCACTGTTCAGTAACAGTCAAATTATTGGTGTGTTATTAGTACCACTCTAGCCTCAAATCCAAAATACAGCACCATATTGGCTTCTATAAAGAAAGTTGACTCTAATCTAGTCAAATGCAGTACAGCATGTGTCTTTAGAAATGTCTTGGCTGGCTATAATAGTTCTATCTTTCACTTTTGGAAAAAAAATAACAAATAAAGGTCTTGGTGACGGAAAGGGAACAGAGAAACACAGTACATACTTCTCAAGATACAGTTATATTTTGAAGCAACGTCACAGAAACATAGTCAGAACAAAACTGCGTATCAGAAAGACAAGTGCGGTTCATTCATGGTGGGACAATATAAAGGAGAATATAATTTGTGACCGTTATGTAAAGGGAAAAGAGAAATAGGGGAAAGCAGGTAGATTATGGAATGTGTCCTAAACAAAACTAACAGGTGAGGTGAGAACTTCAAGGGCCCTTATCCCTGACTGTTTGTTAAGCCTTTGCTCTAAAAAGAGTGCATCAAGATTAACCTTTATGTACTGGTGTTTTCTGTCTTCCTCTCCTCAGGATAAAGTACCTAACATTGTTGTTCTGGGATCAGGAGGAGGCCTGCGTGCTATGATAGCCCTGCTGGGAACCTTGGTGGAGCTGAAAAATCAGAATATCTTGGATGCTGTCATGTATCTGTGTGGGGTGTCAGGATCCACTTGGTAGGTACCTGTTGACTGGTGTGATAGTAGTGAACTGCTTCATAGATTCAGTAGCAATATGACCTTTCTTCACTGTTCAGAACCCTGTATGGGGCTCACAACTGATGAACCTGATGAACTGATGAACAGGTGAGATGTGGCCTGTAAAGGGGTGGGAGGCACAGGAAATACTTATAATATCACCTACAGTCCAGCAAGATTGATCTGTCATCCCTAGAGAGGAAGAGCCTCTCAATTAAGCTAACTCTGTCTTACCTTCTTGAAGCTATAATTCCCCTTATTTAGAGGTTAATGGTGATGAGGAGAGCAGAAAAGTGACAACCAGCCAGGAAAATATTGAAAACTTCTGGGTACCATACTACTCAGAAGTAAAGGGGCTTGTTTAATAGAGGTTATGTAACGTTTAGAAAGGGCCTATAAAACTTAGCTACATCTTTCGAGTGTATGTGAATGACTCAAGGTGCATAAATGTAAACACCTAGTACCATTTTACCTACTTTGCCTGCCCCTTGCCTGTTGGGAAAAGCACTGGGTCTCCTACATATACTGCATCAAATCTACTAAATTTGTAGTGATGTCTCTAACACATGACACGTTAAATAACGTTATATATATGCATGGTTATTCTCTTGAATTTTGTACTTGATTTACTTTTCAGATGTATCTTTTATGCAATGGAAAGAAACGACATTTGGGAACAGGAGCCATTTTACTTTAAAGTCTGTGTGCACCATTGTCAGCGACATGCATGGATTGTTGCACACTTAATTTAGACAACTAAATACATGTGCCTGTATGTACACCTATATACACCTAGCCTTCTCTTTTATTTAAGGGGATAGGTTTATGATCTGTAAAGATAGACTTATAGCAACAGCTTAGATGTTATAGAAGAAAATTCTGGTTTTCTTCAGGTGGTTCACAAGGACACAGGTCTACAGCTCCTGTGGAAGTCTTGGACACTTTACACCTCAAGTGTCACTATCTGTGGTTAGGAGCCCTATGTGGTGTCTGCAGTAATCCCAAACATCTTCACAGTAGACGGATAGGATGCCAGCCAGAACGACCTAGACAGACTTGACAGGTGGGCCTCTTTGAACCTCATGAAGTTCAACAAGGCCAAGTGTACGGTCCTGCTTCTGGTCTTGGGCAACCCTAAGCACAAATACAGGCTGTGCTGTGAATGGGCTGATAATAGCCCCGAGGAGGAGTTGGCAGTGTTGCTGGATGAAAAACTCAACAGGAGCTGGCAATGTGTGCTGGTAGCCCAGAAAGCCAAGCCCATATCCTGGGTTGCATCAAAACAAACATGGCCAGTAGGTTGAAGGAGGTGATTCTCTCCCTCTTCTCTGCTCTCATGAGACCCCATCTAGAGAACAGTATTCAGCTCCAACATAAGAAAGACATGGACCTGTTAGATCAGGTCTAGAAGAGAGTCACGAAGATGATCAGAGGGCTGGAGCACCTCTTCTACAAAGACAGGGTGAGGGAGTTGTGGTTGTTCAGCCTGGAGAAGAAATGGCTCCAGGGAGTCCTTACAGCAGCCTTCCAGTATTTAAAGAGGGCCTCATGAGAAAGCTGAAGAGGAACTCTTTAACAGAGAGTGTAGTGATAGGACAAAGCATAATGTTTTTAAACTAAAAGAAGTAGGTTTAAATTAGATATATTAAGATGAAATGTCAGTCTGAGTTTGGTGCTGGGAAAGCTTGTGGAGCAGCTTATCTTGAGTGCCATCACACAGAACTTGCAGGACAACTCTGGCCCAGGGTTGATCAGGCCCTGACAAGGTCCAGTCAGCATGGGTTTATCAAAGGCAGATCCTGCTTGACAAACCTGATCTCCTTCTATGACAAGGTGATGTGCTCAGTGGACAAGGGAAAGGCTGTAGATGTGGTCTACCACATCACCTTCACCTTCAGTAAGGCTTTTGACACTGTTTCCCACAGCATTCTTCTAAAGAAGTTGGCTACTCAAGGCTGGGACAGGTGTATGCTTTGTTGGGTTAAAAACTGGCTGGGTATCTGGGCCCAAAGAGTTGTGGTGAATGGAGTTAAATCCAGTTGGAGGCTGGTCACTCGTGGTGTCCTCCAGGGCTCAGTATTGGGGCTAGTTGTCTTCAATATCTTTATCAGTGATCTGGATGAGGGAATCGAGTGTACCCTCAGTAAGTTTTCAGATGACACCAAGTTAGGCACGAGTGTTGATCTGCTCAAGGGTAGGAGAGCTCTGTAGAGGAATCTGGATAGACTGGACTGATGGGCTGAGGCCAACTGTATGAGGTTCAACAAGTCTAAGTGCTGGGTCCTGCACCTGGGGCACAACAACTCCAACCAGTGCTACAGGCTTGGGGGAGAGTGGCTGGAGAACTGCCCGGCAGATAGGGACCTGGGGGTATTGGTCACTAGCCATCTGAATACAAGCCAGCAATGTGCTCAGGTGGCTAAGAAGGCCAAAAGCATCCTGGCTTGTATCAGAAATAGTGTGGTCAGCAGGACTAGGGAAGTGATTTTCCCCTTGTACCCATCTCTGGTATGAACACCATGAACATAGTGTTCAGTTTTGGGCCCCTCACTACAAGAAGGACATCGAGGTGCTGGAGCATGCCCAAAGAAAGGCAACAAAGCTGGTGAAGGCTCTAGAGAACCCAAAGAAGGGCAACAAATCTGGTGAAGGGTCTAGAGAACAAGTCTTATGAGGAGCAGCTGAAGGAGCTGGGGTTATTTAGCTTATAGAAAAAAAGGCTCAGGGAGACCTTATGGTACTTTACAATTACCTTAGAAGAGGTTGTAATGAAGTGGGGATCAGTCTCTTCTCCCAAACACCAAGTGATAAGATGAGGGGAAATGGCCTCAAGCTTTGCCAGAGGAGATTTAGGTTGGATATTAGGAGAAATTTCTTTACTGAAAGGGTTGTGTGGCATTGGCTGCCCAGGGAAGTGGTTGAGTCACCATCTCTGGAGGTCTTCAAAAAACATTTTGATGCACAACTTAGAAACATGGCTTAGTGGTGAACTTGTCAGTACTAGGTTAAATGTTGGACTAGATGACCTTAGAGGTCTTTTCCAACTTGAATAATTCTATGATTCTATGAAGTGCTTGACTATTACAGTAGTGAGGCACTAGAACAGATTTCCCAGAGAAGTTGTGGATGTCCCATCCCTGCAGATGTTCAAGGCCAGATTGGACTTTGGGCAACCTGATCAAGTGGGAGTTGTCTGTGCCCATTAAAGGGAGAGATTGAACTAGATTATCTTTAGGGTCACTTCCACCTCAAAATATTCTATGATTCTATGATTTTATGATCTTCATTGTGCAGAGTCAACACACAGACAACAGGCTGCTCTTGATGAAGAAAGTAATTCTATACACCTTAATTTATTAGGTGTTATTAGGGCCATAGAGTTGGTCTTGGAACAGTCTGAACCCTTCACATCTCTATAAGTAGTTAGCAGAGATGATATTTTAGTAGGATATGATGCCACACTGCAAATGTACCAAATTTATTGGTCCTAATAACAGACTAAAAATTTCACAAGTTTGTAAAAATGGTGACATGATGTAATTCATTTTACTTAAGTTTGTTCCATGTTCTTTAATGGATTATCTGTTTCTTAGCAGGCTTCACATCTTTCCCACTAAAGATTTATGCAAAATCTGTATTCCTACAGCAATTTACCCTAAATAAATGGCATGTAACCACCTGAAATTCAGTTTCATGTCATCTAACTAATTAAATGACATTATCAGAATGTAAGTGGGAAGCAAATGATCAAGGAACAATGATATCCTTCTATGCTGCAAAGTTCCTTGCTTGTGGAGAAGCCTATGAGTTCTTTTTCTTCACATACATTTTTTAAATCATTCCAACATCTGCATGCACATCGAAAGGAAAAAAAAAATCAAAGCTCTATTCATTTCCCTCTTTACTAGAAAACAGATTTTTCTTTCTCCTTAAAAGGTGCATGTCCATGCTGTATACAGATTCTAAATGGTCAGAAAAATTGTCCCTGGAAGAGAATCTGATCAATATTCTCACAGTGGACAGTTGGGATATTTCGAAGGCAATAGACTATTTAGAGGAGTCATCAGAAGATGAAAATTACTCACTCACTGATGTCTGGACCTGTGTTGTATACAAAATACTGCATCAGGTAAGAAACTAATTACAAACACCTTTTGAATGTTTTGAACATCTCAAAGTAATTGCAACTGAATTTGACTTTTGTGAATGTTTTGAGAAGTTGTATAAATTGAAGCAAAATTTTAGAGCATTATGTCTAATCTCTAGATATGTAAAGGTAGAGAGGTTAATCCAACTCTATTCTCCAAAGTGGGGTTGTCCCCAGTAGTACAGAAGAGAGGAACAACAACTGATGTTCATACTTATTTTCAGTTTGATGAGAAGGAGCTGACTGATTACAAGGATGCCTCAGAGAGTGGAATAAACCCTTACCCAATTTACGCAGCAGTGGATAAGGAAAAACTGAGTGAAGCGTGTGCGGGTGCAAGCTCTCCAGGTAAATATGGGTTCATCTTACAGTATTTTAAATACCATCAGATATCTTAAATACCATTAGGTTCCCTTAAGGCAATGGCAGACCTAAATTGTGCTTATACCCAACCCCATTTTGACAAATGATGGAGAAAAAGAGGCACTTCCAGGGGCTGAATCACATTCTGTAAAGGTCACTTGCATGATAGGAGAGTGAGACAGCTCCAGAACAGAATAGACTAAACAGATTAGATAAGACATCAATAAAACAGATCTTCAAAATGTAGGTTGTAGATGAAATTTTATGCAGGTCTCATGTAGCAGCAATTTAAGATGTATGAATTCCTTTACGGTAAATCACAAATTAGTTTTTATGTTTTTTTTGTTTTGTTTTGTTTTGTTTTTTCCTTAGCAGCTTTTTATCATTAGTTAATCATTATCATATTTAATAGAAGAAGTCAGTAGCGTCTGCTGCAGTCCATACAGTGACTTAGTTAAAGATTTGTAAATAGCAGTGCTCACACACAAGGTATTAGTAATTTCTGTAGAGCAAGGGACTGGTGATTTCTATACAACAAGGGATTGGGGGATTTCTAAACTCAACCCATTGAGTTTCGCGATCAAGTACTTTTCTTTTGTTGAAGTACTCACCCTCGCCTGACTCAGCTTATTCAGCAGACAATCATTGAACCTCAAGGAGTCTGCCCTAATAGACATCCCTTCTCAGGGCAAGATCCTAGGTCACAGCCCACTGTGGTCCTGGAGAACTCAAGGGGGCTTTTTGCTTAGGACCGGTATTTATAGGACTGTGAGATGAATGGCTTTGGTCAGTATTTTTCCATTCTGGCCACAAGTCATGTTAGGTAATCCTTGTGTTGCCAAACCAACCATACAATTCCAGTACTTTCCAGATTGTACAGTTCAGGTAGCCAGGTAGCAGGAGTTCCAGGTTAAGTTAGGGAGTGCCTAATCATCCCAACTCACTGCACTTGTAACAATGGCAATCCTGACATTGAAGAGTTGCTGGAGGTGAGGGAGTGAGGTGGAGGGAGGGTCTGCACCACCACAATGTAGAAGCTGGAATATAGACATTTGGTGCCATCATAGAACTCCTTGGCCTCCATCTGAGTATTCAGAGGGGCTCAGTTCTTTTGTAAAGTTCTCTCTATTCACATTTGAGAATCCTTTTGTCACAAAAGTGACTCGGGATGTTCTGTGACACAGGGGGAATTTGTACCTCCTTTTAGTAAACGTTTTTAGTCAGATTTAGTCATGATCATGAGACAGCTGCTCAATTAGGGAAATGAGCGGGAGAGAGCACACACACAAAATTTGCAGTAGTTTATATACGATTTGCAATAAAGCACTATGCAAACATATACAATCATATTGTTACAGCAGTCCCAACTCTGCAAAACATCTTCCCTTATTCCATGCAAAACAGAGCTTTGGCACAGGACAGGTGTGGGCCTTGGGTTGGCACCAATCCTTTGTTATGTGTTCCTGAGACCTTGATCTTCTCTGAAGCTGATTTTTTCTCAAAACAGGAATTTTGGTGTTTCTCTCAAATAATCTGTTTGTTGTTCCCAGCCCATCAGATGAAAGTTCTTAGGCCAACGTTTATAGCTCTGGGCAGAGACAAAGTGGTTAGGTCCTAACTTCTAGGCAGAAGGTCTAACCCTTTCATTGCAGAGCACGTAGCACAGAGCAGCAGAGTGGTTAACCCCTGCCTCAGTCTTACCATACTCTGCCTACTTCACCTACTCCTCTATAACAGTATGGGCTTCCTTTCCATCCTACATCATAACAGTCAGCTCCAGGCAGATGACTCAGTTCAGGATAGGTCCCTGGTACCATAAGTCCCTGGTAACATATATGCAGGTACTTGAATCAAGCCTTTTCTCTTCTCTTCACTGACACTAAAGTGTATTAGGGCAGTCACGCCACATGAGCAGAAGGACTCTCTTAGTTTATAAGCATTAAGAGGCCTATGAGCACATCTGAGAGATTTATTCAGAGCTGTACAATTTGACGGATGATCTGCAGGAATCCCAGACCTTTCAGGTATAGTAGTTGGAGGCCAGGTTATAAAGGATATCAAGAGCATAACAAGCAGCAGGCATAGCATGCTACGACTTTTTTGTTCCCCATATGAAAATTCATCTTTGTCAGATAAAGTCAGGTGATTTAAGAAAGGAAAAGAAAAACAACCTGAATGCTATCTTGGGACGGTGAGGTCAGCTATACTTCTGAATATTGTGTGACAAAACACAATATTCTTTGATTTTCTCAGGGACCTGGTTTGAATTCACTCCACATGAGGCTGGATATACTGCCTTGGGTGCTTTTGTGAGTACAGAGAACTTTGGAAGTAAATTTGAAAACGGTAAACTGATGGAGAAGAAAAAGGAAAAAAACATTTGTTACATGCAAGGTAAATCTTCCTGATTCTTCTTTGCAGAATTATCTATCTATATATATTTGTATTCTGTATATATATACAGGTATATATGGATATATATATGTATGTATATATAAACAGGTATACTATTCTGTATCTTTCTGCAGGTTATAATAATGTAGCTATTATTGTACTTTATTTGTGTGTATATATTACGTATGCATGCATTATAATGGAGAATTCTGGAGACCAGTTTGTCTCTCTTTAAACGTCCAAATGGGAACATCTGAATACCTCTCTACTCTCCACTACCTAAACTGACCAGTTTTATGTGGTCATTAAGGAAAATTAGAGACCTACATCCTAGATTAATGAAGTTAGTAAAATATTCCCAGCCTAACTGTCTAAATGTTTTATAATCTCAGCATGTTTACTTTACAGGGAGTGATGCTTCCCAAATCAGATGCACCCTGTGAGGACTGGTTCCCCCTATTATTTTGATTTGTTTCACTCTGTTTCAGTCCAGGTGCCAAATCTTTTTATTCCCTACCTACAGCTGCAAATCTCATCTCACTTGTCTATGACACATCTAAATATGTGTATCACCCTTAAACACATCTTGCATTTAATCACTTCATGCCCCAGTCTCCTCAGAACACGCGCTTGGCATCATTCCCTCTAGGAAAAAAACAAAAACAAAAACAAAACAAAACAAACAAACAAACAAACAGAAAATCCACTCTAATTCTGGCTATTTAATTAATTCAGACAGAAAAAAAAATAAATAATCAAAACACAGTGAAGAAATGAAGAGTACTTATGGCTCTGGGCTCATGTGTGGGGTCTGTCCAGGGAAGTGTTCAACCAAGAGTTCTACAGTGTGAGAGTATTCAGTGTTTGCCATGGGATACTGGCCTTAATGTAAAAAAATAAAAAATAATTAAAAAAATAGCCCCCTGAACTGTAGACCTGGCATGAGGAAGAAGGAATAAATCAGATTTTGAGCTGTATAATCCAGTGGACAATAAGGGAAAACCAAGCAAGTAGTTTTGATTTAGTTTTCTACCTTATAGGTTTTGAAAGTTAGGTAAGAGGAGTGTACTATTGAAAGGCAATCTTGGATTGAAATCTTAGTAAGACAAACATAAAACAAGCACTTTAACTACATTTTCTTTTTTTTTTTTTTTTTTTTTTTTCTTTCAGGCTTATGGGGGAGTGCTTTGGGAAGCATGGAAGAAAATCTAAAGGCTATACGAGGTACTCTATTTTTTTCTGTTGCCTCTGTGTTCAAATTACTTGTTGCATCTGCTAAAATTGAGCATATACTTCAAATTACCCTTGAGTAATCCTTGCAGTCCTCTAGTTTCAAACAAGAACATGGCTATGCCTAACAGAAGCTCTACTGGTACCCCATTTTTCCTTCTCTCAGCATTCAGTAGAATCACAAGGAATTTGGTGGAGGTAGTTTGAAATACTTTTATGGAGAGTGGCAAGAATGGAAGAATATTTTGTGATGAAATATTGAAATCTTTCTGATTTAAAAACAAGACATAAAACACAAGAATCATTCAGCCTAGTGTGTATTTCCCTGTGTGAGCTACCCCGAAGACACAACTTACAGAAGCATTCTACAGATGCACCAGTTTGCACAACAGCTCACACAAAAGGGCACACAGAAAAGGGCCAGCAGCTGTACTGAGGACAGCATCCACACCATCAGCAACCACAGCCACACGTGACAGGGCATGGTTTCTAGTACCTGCTGATAATATTAAGAGTCCTCAATCAAAATGGAGCTATAGAAGGAGAATTAATCTCTCTGACTGCAGGGAGTGCTTGCAACCTTTTACTGAGGCTCAGGAACAGGAGATGGTCTTCCAGCTGCAGGAGAACTGTGCTTGTTGAGGACCTGTGCCTCAAAGTAGAGGGTCTGTGGGAGGAGGTCAGCAGGCTTCACAGCATCAGAGATGGTAAGAAAAAGATTGGTCAGATCTGGCACAAGCTGGAAGCTTTTGGCACTAAGAAGAAAGCTCCTGCTCCCCCTGGAAATTTGCAATTAAAGAATAGATTTAGAACTCTTATAAAAGAGGAAGGACTGGGAGAATGAGAGTCTGAGCTCTGTCTCAAATGAAACTCTGTGTCAAATAAGCCTGTGCCACCTACAAAAGAAAGCGGTAATTTACAGTACTGAGAGACTCTGTGCCACAGTGAGTAGACACCTCCGTGTACCCAACTGTTCTCTTGTCTGGAGAGGCTTGCTGAGGGCTTGGATTCATGAACGTACGGAAATATAGCTGTTTCTTCTGTGAACCTGATGTTATCACCCTCCACAGTTCATCCACATGGGCATTAAAGATACTGCTAATTGAGACTTGAAGTGTCAATCATGACTACATTTGGTGTGGGATGTTAAGGGCAACAAGAAGGGCTTTGTAGGTATATAATCATCAAAAGGAAGACTAGGTAAAATGTGGACCTGCTGCTGAAATGGAGGCAGGCAGGAATCCTGGTGGCAAAGGACATGCATAAAGTTGAGTTACTTGGTCCTTCTTTGCTTCACTCTTTATCTGACACTTAAAACACAGATCTATGAGTGATGAACAGAACCAGTAGGAGAATAGTGCTCTTCTAGAGTGCCTGCCAGAAGACAGGGGAGATCTTTCAAGGAATCTAAAATGGAACTGTACTTACATTTACATTTAAGTGCAAGGCTAGATTTCTTGATGTCTTTTACGGAAAGACAGTGACTATTTTATGAGAAGGGGTATTCTTACTTTAATTATCTTTTTATTTCTTTCAAGACTATATCGAGTGGTTGTTACAAAGGTTACTAAGTTCCTGTGAGACGAGGACATGCAGCCCATGTGGATATGGTCATGGTAGGTTATTGTGAGTCTTTGTGCTTTTTCGCCTTTTTTTTTTTTTTTTTTAAATTAAACACTCTGATTTGCTTTCCACATGTAATCCCTTAGGGGACTGTTAGGATTGTCAGGCAAGGTACAAGGAAATCCAGGCCTTTTCCCCCCTCTCACACATGTAATAATTTGTAAGGTCTTCAACACGTAACTAATTCCCATTTACTCCAACTTTTGCTACTCCTCCTGCTGTTGTGTTTCATGGAGCTTTTCTTCCAGAATGAAAACAAAGACTATTTCTATACTGGTATGATTGTATAGCCATCCAGATGTGAAAAGCTCAGTGTTAGATGTTTTTATTGTCAGCAGGGAGAAATATTCACTTTGCTACATGGTTCCTCTCACCAGTTTAAACTTCTTTAGGATAAGACAAATGAGGGCATGCTTTCTACAGATTCCATCTGATACAATGACTACATCTTCACTAATTCATGTTAGTTACCATCTACTTAGATCAATACCACCATGCTGATGCCTGTTAAGATAAATTCCACCCTGATGTAACTTCTATCTTGTCTTTTTTAGAAGGTATATCAAATACCACCGAGTTTTCTCAGGCTGCTTTGCTTCTACTAGAACTTCAGCCGTGTGCCGTAAGTGGGAGAGATCCTGAAGAAGTCTTCAATAAATTGTTGAAAATATTGTCAGGCAAGTGAATGTGCATCCTAATAAATGTGCCTTAAAGTACATAAGACTTGTGTGATGAAAACAAAGGAGGGAAGAATAGAGAGCTGTGTTAATCTGTGCAAAGAAATAGAAAAGGAATTTAGAGGCAAGTATTGCACATTAATGCTTACCGTAATGGTGATGCTCTCCCCACCCCATTTAGAAAAATTCACAGGTTTTTCTACAAATCCTGTGATTTATTACAAAAGCCCACATGCATTTGTTGGAAAAAGTTGTCATGTAAGTTGATGTGTATTTGTTTCTTTAATGTCACTGGCTTTTAGCTTTTTCTCCACTTCATTTTCCTTTCATTTTTTCACAATTTCATTTTTTCAGAGTGTCTTGGACTAGAAGGTACTCCAGAAGAAATATCACGATTATTGCATGGCAAGTTTATTTCATTTTTAATATCTTTTATTGCTCTTTATATCGTATGTGCTTTCAAAAAAATCCATCTTTGGAGGATTGTGAACATAAATTCCAGTGTAAATCTTATGTAAGGTCATTGTGGGATGATCTAGTGAAAATTATACTATAGAATGTATCAATGATATTCCAGTTTTCAATGTTCATAAAGCTTTCTGTTCTCGTGAAAGTAATTAGAATCTGCCTTCCTGAGTAAATAAATTAGGAGGCCTAATCCTGAACAATCAGTTTCCCATTTATTCTTGTTCCAGAGTGAACCTGTACTTCTCAGGCATTCAAAACTGATGAAGTATATGTTGAAGAGTGGATTTCTCAGTGGTTTTCTGTTAGCTACTTAGCATGCCGTACTCTCAAGTATTATTTGCAACATGCATCACTAGAGACATTTTGAAATAAAAAGTCATGAAATAAGAAATCCTATAGCAAGCATTTTTGGCAGCTAATCAAAATCTCCACCCTTTTATCTGCTTAGATAAAAGTAACTTTTAGTTACTTTTAGCACTAAAGTTTTAAGTAACTGAACTCATTTAGCTTATATCTACAATATTTATTGGACTATGAGTCGAATGAAGATTATTTGGATTTATTTTTAAAAAGACCGAGAAGAGGTCTAAGCAAGACACAAGTAAATTTCAAATAAGAATTTCACGTTGAAGTTCCTAGAATACGTTTGCAATGTTAAGCTGATATATCACATGTGTAGACCCAGGGCTCTGCTAGTTCCATCACCCACTGTGTATGGGCGGCTTTTTGCCAACTCCTTCTGGAGCAAATTGGTTGGTGTTACGAGATTAAATATGGCCATTGTTTCTTTAATCTCCGGTGCTTGTTCCAAGGACTGTGTACACAGATCACACCTGGCCTGTCTTTGCCCAATACAGTCCTTCAAATTATCACATTGAGCTGGTTTTCTCACATTTTCTCACATGATCACTTGGATTTCTCATGGTTTTCTGCCAATATTCCCCTCCTTGCACAGTTTGTTCTACTGGGCTGTAACCTGGCTCTCACTTTATCCATGGGACTTTCAGCTGGAAAGAAAATTAAAAGAAAGAACACTCTCTGAGCCACAAGAATGTTACAAGGGGCCCAGAAAAGATCAGGCCTTGACTGACTTATTCAAATCTGTTTCAAGTGGGTTAAGATTCCACTGACTGATGTTAATTATCTGAACTAGTGAAAAGTTTGGTTCTTTTTCTTTGGTTCTTTTTCTTTCACTTGGGCCTTGGCACTAAGGCTGGCTGTATACTATCAGCATGTATGTTCTTCTGACATGATGCATCTTCACCAGATTTTGTTGCACCAGTCAAAAAGTGAAGTTGTCTAGATTCAACTATGTTCTAAATTGTTTTATCTCTTCTTAGCTGACTTACAGAGTATCTTCAGGATCCTGACTAAAACAATGGAGTGTATTTTAAACTGGATGTGGGGAACAACTAATAACTTCCTTTACAAGTGCCGTAAGAAACTCCAATGAAATCTTTTTTATTTAAGATTCAAAAAATACAAACTGGTTATGTTATCTGAATTGATTGATGGAGCAGAATGCATGGGATCTGGTAGAGCTTTTACGCTGTGGTTGTGTGATGTTAAACCAATAAAACTGTTTTTGCCATTTATTTTTTTTTTTTAATACAGTAAGTTAGATAACTTTCCTTTCCAAGATCCACCTTCTCTTAATAGCATCCCATTGTGGGCAGCAACTAAACAAGTCACAAACAGAATTTTATTTCATGCTACTAGAATCCAGACCTGCAATATCATTGCAGACACATAAAATAGTAGCTCAATTCAGTCACATAGACACAGGCATCCAACATCACACAAACTGCCCTGAGTTCAGGGGACTAAAACATTAGGGTGAAAAGTACAAAAGAAAACCTACAGAACCCCTGTGCCCATTTGCAGGAGAACCTGGAGGACAAAGAAAGGAGACTGAGGAGGTAGAACGAGACAACTAAGTTAATAAAAATGAGTTGTGTTCCTGGCTAATGGACAGTAAAATGAGTCTCTAGATTCTATCACCTGCACTAACTGAATGCTCACTTAAAATAATGGAAGTTTGGGCACCTGGCTTAAAAGTAGAAACCTTCATGTAGACAGATATATTTGTGTCATGATCTTGAACTAGCTCATCTGTTCATTTTTCCCTCAAAGATCTTATCTTAAAATGACTAGTGCATATTTCTAGGGGCATAATCTCTTCTAAAAGATCATCAGGAATTTTGGTCTAAAACTGATCACAGTCAGAGAAAGAGGTGGCTCAAATGGATGTAGATTCCTCCTGTCAGAATCTACATTGGTCATCTGGTTGAGCAAGAGATGCAGGTTCCTATATATTTTTGGGATGCATAATCAATAAAGTCTGATGTACTCTTTTGGGGCTGTTCATATATATATATATGTATATATATATATATATATATACGTATTTTCATATTTGTCTTCATGAAATCTCATTGCCTTTTTTTTTTTTTTTTTTTTTTTCATTGGATTAGCTAAAATTCAGTCCTCTTACCTGGTCGAAAACAAAACCATCTCCTTGATTGATGCTGGCGTGGCAATAAATTCTGCCTATCCTCTGGTACTTAGAGCACAACGTCAAACAGATCTTATCCTTTCCTTTGACTTCAGCTCCGAAGATCCTTTTGAGGTACGTATGTGGTTATCTCTTTGGTGAGCCTACTTTGAGGGTGATTAAGTTGGAGACTGGATAAATGCATTATAATCATTAACAAAGCAAATTTCAAAGGAATGTGTAAATGGATTCTGACAGGCTGGTAAGCTGACCATCATGTTGTCTGGATTTTTTTTCAAGGCAGTTGGCAGAAACATCTATTTTTAGAACTTGAGGCACTTTATCTGTCTTGTTCACAGGTATTTGATGATATACTCTCAGGTTATCAAGCTATCAGGTTATCAAAGGTGCATAAGAGCAACAAAGAGAGCACTCACAATTTTCTTAGTCTCCCTTTTTTCCTTAAGGCTGGTCAGAACTTTTGTGTGGGTAACTGATGCTACTCCTTCCTTAAGAGTAATTGATGACGTTCTTCAAAGAGATCCTTCAGGTATGCAGCATGAGGAAATGTGGTATTAATAGTCTCACCAGCAAAAAAGTCTGCAGCAAGTGCAGAGGCTGAAAATTCTCGGAGAAGAGAAAGGAGAAGAAATTCAACCAGTTTCAAAGATGACACAGCAAGAGTATTTCCTAGATATTTTTGTGCTGGTTTTTGAAACAATTAAAACAATATGAAATTGTTTTTTGTTTAACAATTTTGTTTAATTGTTTTTTGTTTAACAATTGTTTAACAAAACAATTAACAATTAAACATCTGTTAATTGTTTAACAATTGTTAAACTCTCAGTGAAACCAACAAAAAAAAAAAATTAACACTCCTTAGATAGTGATCATGGAAGATATTGATTAAAATTATTTTTATTTCTATTATTTTATGTTTCTAACTCTGTTTTATTCTATTTTGTGGGGGGAATGAGGAGGGAGAAGAATACTAAACTAAACAAAAACTCCTTACTGAATGAGCAGGGAAGATATGGTTTTCATTTATTTTTATTTCTATTATTTTATGTTTCTAACTGCTTCTCTGGCTCTTTTCAGTGTGGTCACTTCAGGGACAGTGGAGGTCAATGCACCAGGAAGCACTGGCTGCTTTGGATTGCCATATATTACAGTAGGCATTTAGATTGGAGTAGAGTGGAGTAGAGTAGAAATACAGAATAGAAATTAGAATAGAACAGATCAGAACAGAATAGAATAGAATCTAGTCCAGCTGCCTGACCACTCCAGGGCTACCCAGAAGTTAAAACATATTTCTGAGGGCATTGTCAGTCTGGGGAGTCAGTATGGATCAGGACTGATGGCAGAAAAGTATCAGCTCTGGTGCCAGTAACCAGCCTAGTTACTGTTGGGCACGTCCATCGCAGTGACACTGTTCCAAGGTCAAGCTAGGAAGTCAGTCTATGGGTCAGGGTCCAGACCAAAAGAGCTAATGTACAGGCATGGCTGAGTATGAGTAGGAGACCAGTGCACCTAGGATGTAGCTCAGACACAGGCTGAAGGCCCAGTCCTGAGACTAAATGAAACTCATGGGCCCAGGGAAAAGATCTGGTCCTCTCATTGTTGCCAACTCACATCTTATCAAGAATAAAGTAAACAGAATTTGGAAAAATTAATTGTCTAGATAAGAAAAGCAGAAACACCTACTCGATGTACAAAATAGGCAAGAGCAGAATACCTTTTAATAGATAGTATTTACGGCAAAATACCTCATATTACCTCTGAGGTGACCTCATATCTGTATCTGTAAGAATTTGCTCGGTTTCCCTTTGTGTAATTTTTTTTCCTTCCATTTCCTTTATCCTTTATTAAAAAGTTGCATTACAAGTGAGGGTAAATGTACAATACTATTTCTGTAATTGCTTCTATTTAAATACACTTGTCTAGGGAATTAGTTTGGGGAATTTGATTCAAAAAAGAACTTGCTAGCTTTCAGAGATTTTATTAGTATTTCCTATCATTCAACTGAATGCAAGACATTTGATTGTCTTTTATGACTACAAAAGCCATGTCTTCTTTACCTTTTTCCAACAGTAATAAATAAAAGTGATAAAATCTGTAGAATCTAATCCAGAGATGACATAAATACTAAGGCATCAATAACTGCCTCTCTGTGGGAGAGGCTAACAGTGTTCTTAACACCTCAGGACCCATCTTTAACTGTAAAGCACATTTTTGTGGAGGGATTCTTTGAATGAGTTGTGCAAGAACCCAGTTAATCCGAGAAGTTTAAATTAAGTGGCTGCTGTTCACAATCCTTGCACTATCTCAAAGCAGAACATTGCAAATACATTCAGAGAAGAGTGAAAAAAGTCTCATAGGTTGCTTCTCCTCCTGAAATCTTCAGTCATTGGGGGATAAGTTTTCTCAGGGACACCACAGAAAATCTCATTTTGTGCAAGTTCCCAAAATGATACCTACCGTAGTCAATACTTTCATTCAAAATTAAGCTAGCATTAAAGTTTATGTATGGCTTGAATTGACAGTGTTGTTGCCTCCATTTGATGGTCAGATACACATGAGGAACATGTAGCGACTTTTTAATTTTGCTAGAGTGCAAGCATGGGAGGATTGCTTTGGAAAGCAAGATTTGTTCTGAAAGTTTGTGAACCTGGTCATATCTTCAGACTGTTGTATAGGTGTCAAGACCCTTTAATTTTGATATCTTTCAGTGTCAGCCTTTCTGGACGTAGCTGTAATTTGTTAAACAAAGATTCTTGCTAGAAGTGACTCCAGAAGCAAGTGCTGGATTTTCATTTATATTCTTGATTCAGTCAATTCCTCAGAGAACTGAAGAAAACTTTGATTTTTATGCATCGTTTAGGTTATAATTTACTGTTGTCTAAGAAATTATCATCATTTGGTACAAATTAATTTTATTACTGGAGATAGGATTGATTTATTCTAGGTTTTCAAAAACAGAGAAATTGTATACATCTTTTATCTTGTTTGTGTCTCAGACTGTCGAGAAAGCAGCTGACTACTGCCAGAAAAATGGTATTCCATTTCCCAACATAGAGAAGCAGGAAATGGACAAGGAAAGCCCTTCTGATTGTTATATCTTTCGAGGAGACAAGTCGTGCCCTACAGTCATGCACTTTCCACTCTTCAACAAAGTGAATTGTTCTGGTAACATATATTTGATGCTATTTTGTCTCTATGTACTTGCATTTCATATCTTCAACTTCTTGTGCCAAGCATTTGAGAGTCCCCTTTTACCTAGTGATGTTGTAAATGGACACAGAAGAAAAGGAAGAGAGCAGGCTCTAGTCATAATCAACAGATGCTTGTGCAGGTGTTAATATGTAGGATTTACCCTCACTCTCTCAGATAAATGTATGTCTGTACTCAAGGCTAAAAGATTTTATGTAATCTTTGGTTTGTTCTCTATATCAAGCTCAGGAAGTGCAGCCTAGATGAGTAGACAACGAGTTGGACTGGCAATTGGCTGGATGGTAGAGCTCAGAGGGTTGTGCTCAGTAGTGCGGAATCTAGTTGGAGGCCTGTAGCTAGCGGTGTCTCCCAGGTGTCAGTACTGGGTCCACTGTTGTTTGATTTATTCATCAATGACCTGGAGGTGGAACAGAGTGCACCCTCAGCAAGTTGGCTGATGACACAAAGCTCGGAAGAGTGGCTGATACCCCAAAGGGCTGTGCTGCCATTCAGAGGGACCTTGACAGGCTGCAGGAGGGATGGGCCAAGAGGAACCTCATTTAGTTCAACAAGGACAAGTTCAGGGTACTGCACCTAGGGAGGAATAACCACAAGCACCAGTACAGGCTGGGGGCTGACCTGCTGAAGATCAGCTCTGCAGAGAGGGACCCAGGAGTCCTATTGGACAGCAGGCTGACTGGGTGGCAGTAATGTGCCCTTGTGGCCAAGAAGGCCAACGCTATCCTGGGCTGCATTCAGAAGTGTTGCCAACAGGTCAAGGGAGGTGATCATCCCCCTCTACTCAGCCCTGGTGACGCCACACCTGGAATATTGTGTCCAGTTCTGGGCTCCCCAGTACAAGAGGGACATAGAACTACTGAAGTGAGTTCGGAGAAGGGCTACAAAGATGGTTAGAGGACTGGAGTACCTGTCATATGAGGACAGGCTGGGAGAACGCGGCCTGCTTAGCCTGGAAAAGAGAAGACTGAGAGGAGACCTCAGTAATGTATATAAATACCTGAGGAAAGGGTTTAATGAGGATGGAGACGGTCTCTTTTCAGTTGTGCCCAGTGACAGGACAAGAGGCAACAGGCACAAACTGAAGAACAGGAGGTTCCGTCTGAATGTGAGGGGGCACTTCTTTACTGTGAAGGTGAGAGAGTGCTGGAACAGGTTGCCCAGAGAGGTTGTGGAGTCTCCTTCTCTGGAAATATTTAAAACCTACCTGGATGCCATCCTGTGCAGTGTGCTCTAGGTGATCTTGCTCAGCAGGGGGGTTGGACTAAATGGTCTTCAGAGGTTCATTGCAACCTCGGCCACTGTGATTCTGTGATCATTTTAATTAAATTGTGGACCTCCCATTAAAAAGAAGTTGAGGAGATATCACATTTAGAAGCTAGACTATCCAAATTGGGGATATTTATTACTGTTTCCCTTATAGTTACTGATGAGGAACAGGTTGGTGCAGATTTCTCTCTCTCTCTTAGATAACTGATAAAGCTGGTGATCGAATAAGTAGCTCTGAAATTGTGATTGAACTTCTGCTTTCTCATGTTGCTGGCTCCAGCATTATCTTAATGTGATAAAATTTTTTTATGTGAAACTTGTGGGTCTTCAGGGATTAATATTTTCCACAAGTCCGTGCTTCTCTTGGATGATCTTGTAGCTTTATATTTGGCATTTACTTACACAGTGTTTTCTGTTTTCTAGATAAAATTGAAGAATACAGAAGTAATTTCTCTACTTTTAACATGTCCTACTCCGAGACTAACATCAAAGATCTCCTTGCAAAAGCAAAGCTGAATGTGTCCAATAATAGTAAGAGAATTTTGCAAGAGATACAACGGCTTCTATCTTCCTCTCATACAAACAAGTTCTGAATGCAAAGGTAGTTTTTGTTTGTTTGATTGTTTTCTCTTCTGTGCAGAATAATGAATTTATGACTCTGTATTTCTCACCTGCTCATTTTTCTGCATTTCTTGTGTATAAAATTTAAAACTGATCAAATATTAAATATCTGACCTATAGATTGTTCACAATAGCAGAAGTATTTGACTTTGTCCCATGGTGCACTGAATAGTCCCAGTCAAATAATATTGCCTATAACATCCTGGCATTAGGCGAGTATGCCTGTGATATTAAAAAATGTCAAAGTCCTCAGAGCTGTCCTGTGTTTAATTTACTAGTGTTTTCCTGTGTTTTCTTGTGTTCAGACCGAGTTTAAAGAATTAGGAAATTGAATCTGAGCTCAAGAAAAAATGTTTTAGTGAGAGGTTGGTCAGACACGGAAACAGGTTGCCCAGACAACCTGTGGACTCTCCATCTGTGGAGATACTGAAACCCCAATCAGACAAGGTTCTGGACAGCTTGTTTGAGCTGACCCCGTTTATGCAGTGGGTTGGATTACAGGATCTCAAGAGAGCCTGTCAAACATAAACAATTCTGTGTGATTATGTGTAACCAGGTTGGTAAATCAACAATAGCACTACAGGAAAAATGCTATTTCATTAAACTCAGAATAATTTCTTTTGAACGAGTTCCAGTTGGAATTCAGGCATCTTCGTTGTGGTATGTAGATGTGCTTAAGCTAGTACTCCATGGATTTTTGCTTACGCATGTTTGCTTACCAGATCAGTGGTAAGGTGTATCCAAACACTATGAAAACAAAGGTTTTGTTGGCAATGAGTTGTCAACACACACACAGAGACAGGCAGATGCGCAGCTTGCCACAACAGAGAACCATTTTGCAAATCCTTATGCATTTGATAACTGACATGCTAAACATCTTCAGTGCTGTTTTGCAATGGAACTGCATATTCTCAACATGGTTTGCTGAGCCAAGACCAAAAAGGGCTTGTACCTCTGTCACCTATACCAGCAAGGACAGATCAGGATACAATTTTTTTGAAAGTCTGGTAAGAAAAGAAAAGCACCTCCTATACTTTTACCAGGAGCTGTAAGTCAAGGCAACCACACTGTCAGTGTATGAGTCCATACTTTAGGATAGCTTCACCTTTGTTGGTCACAGCATACAATTAGTCAGGGGAAAAAATATCTAGGAATGAAAATGGGAAACTTGAATGCACCGACATCTGTACTTCCCCGACCAGTATGTTTATTTTCTTTATAGCTAAACCAGGTAGAAATAAATGAGGCTTAAAAAGAGTTGCAAAGTGTGTATGTCTAACCTACTGCAGTCACACATCCACTTAATCAAGTTTTACATTTCCTCTGGGGATTAAAATACCTCCTCCCAACTTTTCAAAATATGTGGTGTTTGTCCTCATGATGTGGGCATTGAGTAAGACGTGCAAGACAGATTTCTGTATGTATTGCCTTTGGGTAGGACCTTATGCATTCCATTTATGTGCCTAAAATATCATTGTCAAGAACCAGCATTTATATCTGCCTAGACAAGTTTTGATGAAGTTTGTTCTTTAGCTTTTTCATCTAAACTGTATGAGCTCAGTTCTTCCATGCAATGTATTGGGGCAGAGTTCAAACGTGAGACTGTTATCAAGCTATAAGACATTGGTCTCTGTTTTCTTACTCGGGAGACACTTAGAATCACAAAATCATGGAATCATAGCATAGATTAGGTTTGGGCTGAAGGTCATATATCCCTGCTTAAAGAAGGGCAACAGGTGAAGGGACGTGATCATAGAATCATAGAATGATAAAGGTCTGAAAAGACCTCCAAGATCATCTGGTCCCCTACCATCAACATCACCCACTAAATCATGTCCTTAAGCACCACATCCAACCTTTCCTTAAACACTCCCAGGGACGGTGTTTAAGCGACAAATGAGTCCCAGCACTCATTTCCATGGACTATCAGAACCAAGGAAAAGCAGATTCTTGTTCAGCACAGCAGGTGAACCCCCCTGTTGCCTACCTTACCCTCCCAGGTGCCCCTACACAACAGTTATGAGGCTCTGGAACTTAATGGGCAAGCGAATGGCAATGTGGACAAAGGTCCATCCACATTGGGGGAGTTGCCAAGGGCAAGTCAATCTAAGCCCCACATCACAACAACTCCCACCAAGAAAAAAAAAAGAAGGGTTATTGTCATAGGGGACTCCCTTCTGAAGGGAATGGAAGGCCTGATTTGCCATCCAGACCCAACCTATAGGCAAATCTGTTGTCTCCCTGGGGCTCAGGTAAGAGACATCACTTGGAAAGCCGCTCATCTGGTACATCCCTCTGATTATTACCCTTTATTGGTTTTTCATGTTGGCACTGATAAGATAGAAAAGAGAAGACCAAAAGTGACCGAAAGGAACTTTAGGGCTTTGGGGCTACTGGTTGAAGGATCGGATGCACACAAAAGAGCAAAAGCAAGAGGACTCATGTCAAGATATAGACAGTTTAATAAATGAAGAAAAGAGGGGAAAAAACAAATAATGCGTAGGCAACCAGTTCTGATGCAAAGGCACTCACCATCTCCTACAAGTAAACTGATGCCCATCCAATCTCTAAGCAATGCCTTCTCTGGAAGACAATGTCCCCTACTCCAGCCTCAACTTGCCCCAGTTTCCCCCTCCCCTTGCCCTGCCCTGCCCTCTCTTCTCCTCTCCCCTCCATTTTTCTTTTTCATATTTTATTTTTAGCGTTGTATTAATGATACTGAATATCCTTTCAGACAGTTTAGGTCACTAATCCTGGCTGCATCCCTGACCAACTTTTTGCTCACTCCCAGTAGTATGGGGAAGTTCACATCCTGAAGCTGATGGGCTCTACCAAGCAACCTAAGAGGGAATTTGCTGCTTCCAGACATTCATCCAGATGGATCTCTGCAAGTAGAGAGAAAAGGTAGAGGATGGACACAACTCAGAAAGGGAAGACAGTGTGTACTGCCAGTCTCATAGACTGCCACACAGGAGCACAGGGAAAGAAGAACATGGGTGTTTGCTGTGCAAGTTTGTGGGAAATGCCTAGAGTATGACTCCTCCTAGCAAAATCTACTTACCAGTTTGGTCCCGTAGCCACCTACAAGACTTGGCCTCCAGAAGTTCTGACCAAGATACCCTCCATTTATACCGGTGCAACCAGACTAAGGCCAACACTGTGGCCCAGGCAGTCGGCTTCACATGCTGTGGAGGAAAATGGAACAGTCAGGGGGAAAAGAAAGACCAAACCTAAAATAGCACAAACCTTTGGACAAATCTTTGCCTGAAAGGAGGACTTCTATACACACACACAAACTCTCTGAGCTTCTGAAATCCTCAATGCCAGAAAGTTCCCAGATACCTGATTACATCTCTCCTTTCTACAAGCAGACAGCCTCAATATCCTGACTGTTCTGATCTTCTCCTGATGGTTCAGCTCAGACTGGAAACTTGGAGAAGATAAAAGTTCAGCTCATGATATTTCCCCCCACCCGCCCCTGATCTGCTTACCTTACTGGGCCTTTGGCCCTTAACTTCAGCCTTGCTGAGCCTCAAGGCTGAGGTCAGGGCTGAGGTCAGGTCCCATGAGCCATTTGCTTTCTGGAGTGCCACTACTGCCCTGAGACTGGAGAAGTCACACAGTCTTGTCGACAACGGTGAAATTTTCCAGTCCCAACTTATGTGAAATGGTGGTGGTTCCTCCATCACCAGCTCTTCAGGAGGAGATTCCTGCTCTGGAAGACAGAAATATTCACATAGCTCCTATGAAATAAGCAATGGTTAGTAACCTTAAATTCTACCTTCTCCAGATATCCTCAACTGTCCTACATCCTTTCTGGGCTTTCCAAAGTTTTCCCAGACCTCCAAAGGCATCCTGGACTTTTCCAGAACTCCCAGAGCACCCTCAAATTTTCCCAGTCCCTCACAGGTATGCTGACACTGCTGATCTTATAGGTCTTTTCCAGCCTAAATGATTCTATGATCATTAAAGGTTCCTTCCAATCCAAACCATTCTATGATTATACAGCATTTAAAACCTCACTTCATCCTTCTCCACCATCAATTCTTGAACCCAGTCTCAACATGAGCTGCTCCTTTCCACATTCTGGGATATAAGACTTCTTTGAAGCTACAACAGCACTGCAATACGTGAGTGTGAAGGTGAGGAGGGTCAAGCACAGACCATAGGATATTAATGTTCTAGGCATGTCCGAGTTCTGCAGCAGAATTAACAGCTTTTATGGGCAGAAGAAGTATTGGGGAACAAAGAAGTTGGGGGCAGAACTAGGGATCATGTAAAGCTAGCCTAAATGTATACAATGTAATTTAGGTTGGCAGGAATCTCTGGAGGTCATCTAGTCCAATGCCATAATTCAAGGAAGTTTTCATTTCGATCAGTTTACCCAGGAACTTATCATGAACATCTCCAAGGTTGAGGATTCCAACAGTTCTTGGTTATTATGATTTAAAACAAAACAAAACAAAACAAAAACTTCCTTATACCCATTCAATATTTCCCTTGTTCCAACTTGTATCAATTGCCTCTTATCCTAAGGCCATGTACCTCCAAGTCTCTGTATTCTTTGGATCTTCCTCCAGTCAGGTAATTGTAGACAAAAATAAGGTATCCTTAATAACAAAACGAGCTCCTTCAACTTCTTTTTGCATGCCATGTAGTTCAGCCCCCTCATTTTAGTGGCCTTCCTCTAGATTCATTCTAGTGTATCAATGCCTTTATCGTAATGAGAGAGTTTCCAGTAATTCACATGCCTTTTCTTTCTGTTTGGACACTAGAGTCAGGCTCAGCTGACTCTGGATGCCTCCGCTGAAAGTCCTAGTTTGTTCTCACCAGTGCCTGGGCACTATACTTATTCTGGAGCTGCAGGTCTGCAGGTTGAGCAGGAGCCTTCCTATTGGTGCCAGAAGTCACAAGCCTCCAGCTTTCTCCATTCTGACTGTGAATTCCAGATGTCCTTGCTTCAGGTCACTCAAAATCTTCTCTCTGCAGACTTTCCACAAAGACCACAGCAATCTCCTCTTCATTCACCCTGATGGTGTGCAGTGTGCTCATTACTTTTCGTTCCTTCAGTTAGCAGCTCCAGGCCTTGTCTAGAGTATACCTCTC